TGGGTTCCTGACTCAGATCAGGATAGTGGCATGAGGGAAGGGCTCCTGCCTTCTCCTGTGCACCATTTTCCTGAGCCAAACAGCATGAGGGGAAGTCAGGAGACTCTCCTTCCCCTGCGCCTCAGTCTGGATCCAAACTGGGTAACTGCTTTTAGATGCAGCAGCAATATGGCCGTGAGTTCCCATGGCACATTTACATATTATGTAATGTGTAGTTTTGTCCTTAAAAAGGTGTAACTTCAATTTGGATCGCACTATTAGGCATATAGTTAGTTTCCCTGTATCATATCCTATATTAGATGGAGACACTAGTTCCTCTGCCATGCATGTTTGATTATGTTTCTCATAGATGTGATTTACCTGTTGGCCCCCAACCAGTACACTCCATCTTTGAAATATATCTTCACTTCAGTATCATTCTTGCCATTGTCAGATGCTTCTCACACCTGAGGCTCAACACATACTATCCAGTCATGTGAGTTAGACTGTTTCTAATCTACTAGGGGCTACATTACTCTGTTACTTCTTTTGTTCTTCAACCCTCTCCAATTATTTTTGATAGAAATGCCTAATCAATAAAGTAGGAGTGGATGGCAAAATGTACATACAGAGACCTGAGACAGGTTGTGCCTAAAATTTTTATGTAATTGTGTAATTGCTGAGGGTATCTCCTTTTCATTAGATACATAGTTAGTCTAGAAAAGTGACATTAGTAGATCTGTCTATTATAACTGATGTGCATTTCCATGAAGGCCCAAATATTTTAAAGATGAGCAGTGGCCCCAATTACCCAGGGGTGAGATGAGAAGAAGTGTGCTTGCTGGCAGGGGCCAATTGTGAGTCACTGGGAGGGGCTGGCTGCTGGCTGTCTGTGGTTGACAGCACCGATGAAGGGGGTCCATGCAGGTGTCAGGGATACCAGTGATTATGGGGCAGGGAAAATATAGCGGTGGGCGTAGATGCTCTTCCATTAATGGGAATGGAAGGAGTCAGAGATATGGAAATGCTCAGACTTCTTCCCACCTACATCCCATCCCAAGAGATGTTGGTTGTGGGGCTAGGAAAATGTACCCTTCTCCGACACTGGTGTTATTCAATGCCAGGTCTATTAATAATAAGACCAATGTGCTCTGTGATTATCTCATGGAGTCACAGGTAGACCTGGCTTGTGTGACCGCGACTTGGGTGAGGGATGGTGAAACTGTTGCCTTGAACCAGCTTGCCCCACCTGGGTTCTTGGTCTTTCATCAGTCACGGATGTATGGGCAGGAGGGAGGTGTGCCTCTGCTTATCTGTGAATTATGTTCCTTCAGGTCACTCCCTGCCCCAACAGTCTCCGGCACTGAATGTGTTGGTCTGGTGTGTGATGTCGAGGAAAGTTTGGCTATCTGGCTGGTGTGCCGACCGCCTAATGCACCGGCAGATACCCTGTCCAACCTGTTAGATATCAGACAGGCTGGGCACTGGAATATCCCAGGCTTCTGATCCTGGGTGACTTCAATGTCCATGCCAATGATGCAGCATCTGTCCAGGCCAGGGACCTAGTGTCATCCATGGAGGCACTGGGATTCTCCCAGTTTATATCAACTCCCACACACCAAGCGGACCACACACTGGATTTGATTTTTGGAATAGAGATACATGTGGATCTGATGACTACGAATGTAGTCCCATGGTCTGATCACTTCACCCTGAAGGTATGGCTAAGCATACCATGCCCACCCTGTTTAGGTGGCGAGTGTATTTATGCTCACCGCAGAGCCAAATGGACTCTAGTCAGCTTCAGGAAGCTCTGCGGGATCCAGTGCCCCCTGGCGCCTCATTGGTTGAGCTGGTGGAGGACTGGGATAACTGGCTCTCTGAAGCCATCAACGAGATCACCCCCTGGCGCCCTCTACACCCTAGCACCAAAGCAGCACTGTGGTATACCATGGAGCTGCGGAGGATGAAGCAGGAGCTAAAACAGCTAGAACAAAGGTGGCAGCGTGCTTGTGACGAAGTGTCACAAACATCTTACAGGACATTTATGAAGGCCTATGAGACGGCAGTGAAGGCTGCAAAGAAGGATTTCTATGCGGCCTCCATTGTGTCTGCAAGCTCGCGTCCAGCCCAATTGTTTAGAGTTATTTGGTCTATTACAACTCTGCCTCAGGGCAGACCAAATAGTAGGGAATTGGCCATTGGCTGTGAGGCATTTGCGAGCTATTTCGCAGATAAGGTCATGACACTTCGCCAGGACCTCCCAGCCACAATTGAGACAGTAAAAGAACTGGAGGCCCCTTGTCCATCTTCTGGTCTGGTATTGGACCACTTCGATTGACTTTCTCAGGAGGAAGTTGACAGGATCCTGGCAGCGGTGAGACCTACTACATGCCTCCTTGACCCATGCCCTTCCTGGCTAGTTAAATCTTGCGGGGAGATCATTTGGGCTCCTCTGGGATAAATTATCAACTTGTCTCTTTCTACTGGGACTTTCCCAGAGGCTTTGAAGGAGGCAGTGGTCCGTCCGCTCTTGAAAAAGCCATCACTGGACCCGATGGTCCTGACCACCCAGTATCTTACTTACCATCCCTAGGCAAGGTGGTTGAGAGGCTTTCCTGGATGACGCTTCCGTCCTTGACTCCTTCCAGTCTGGCTTCACCTGGCTATGGGACGGAGTTGGCTCTGGTCACCCTTACAGATGACCTCTGTAGACAACTGGACCAAGGCAGGTTAGCGCTGCTGTTGTTAGATCTGACAGCAGCGTTTGACACGGTCGACTACGTTCTCATGACCCACCGCCTCACTGACATAGGCGTTCAGGGGACTGCCTTGAAATGTTATTTTTTCCTTTCTCCATGGTCGGGGACAGAGGGTGGCACTTGGCAAGAGGGTCTCCCCACGGTATCTGCTAGAATGTGGAGTGCTGCAGGGGGCCATCCTCTCACCACTGTTGTTTAACATCTATATGCGCCCCCTCGCCCAGTTAGTCTGGTGCTATGGGCTGGGCTGTCACCAATATGCTGATGACACCCAGCTCTATCTGTTAATGGACAGCCATCCGTCTTCTGCTCCCGAAATGCTGGGTGAGGCCTTGGAAGTTGTGGCTGGATGGTTGCGGCAGAGTTGGCTAAAGTTAAATCCATCGAAGATGGAGGTCCTGTACCTGGGTCGAGGGGACATGGATGTGGGCACCAGGCTTCCTACACTAGAAGGGGCACCTTTGGTGCCAGCTCAAACAG